TTTTCGACTATTACACCGTTACTCCCTCTATAGGCTGGTATTTATAGGAAAGATATAAATAAACCGATATTCCAATTTTACGAAAACTTGCTCGTAATTTCAAACAAAAACAGCTCGAAAAACAGCCTCTTAAATGTTTGTAATCTTAGCAGTAATTAGATAATAAAAATACGCACCTTTTATCTAAAGTTGTAAGTTTTTTGAAAAAAAAAGACATATACGGCTAGGTGATCTAGAGGAATGCTGTAAGATCTCCCAGCAGGCTCTGGGGCAGAACCCCAGACGAAAACTTATTACGCATAAAGTTTGTGTACAAAACTTTACATTTTTGTGAAATAAGAATATTCTATATTATTTATTTGAAAAATTACACAGCTCTTCAAAATTGCTATCTTTGTTGATAACTCGATTCAGAGACAAACACATCAAAGCAGGAATAATATATTTTTCTAGTACTATCATGACAGATTCTGCATTAGCTACAGGCTGGACTCTATGGCACATTGTACAAGTTGTGCTAATTATTTTTGTCGTATACTTCAATTAAAAAAAATTAAAATAATTTTAAATACAAAAGTGTTATATATTTATCATAAATTATAGAAAGCGCTTTTTTGCTTGCACAAGAAAAACGGGACTTTCATTTTCACTTTCCATGCGAACGATAAACCTATTTTGTAGCTTTTAAGCATGAAATCTGAAAACCTGTGTTATTTTCACATAAATGTGCATGTAAAAAAACACACCTTTTTATATCTTACGATAAGTTATTATCGAACTTTTTATATTAACTATATTTTCACTCATGGGAAGATTTTTAAAAAAGATATTCTAGAAGTAGTTAAACACTGATTAAAATATTGAAAACGCACTAATGTGAATATTGGGTACAGTCACGATTCATGTTATTACAAAAACACACACACACAAATCAGCACTTCGCTAATAATTAGAAAGTGAACTCCGTTTGTTTGGTTGACTCTGGCCCCCAGTTCCATGTTATTGAATATAAAGCGCTATTTGATTGGGTTCGACTTCCAGTAACCATGCTGGCTCTCATGCAATATTTGGTTAATTGAGTCAGACGGCCATGATTTTGTTGGATAAAAAAAGAACTATTTATTTTGTTGTGTTCGACTGTCGCTCACGTGAAATGTACAGAGTATACCAAAAGAAACTAACTTTATTGTTCATCTTATAATTTTGTAATAGTGAATAATGAAGTATTTAAATAATATTTATTTTAACGTACAATATTCAAAAATTACTACAAATGTAGAAACATGAATTTGATTAACTTGATTTAGATTCGCCTACTGGAATTTGGAACAGCTTTTGTAAAGTTGTCGTTTTATCGGAGAAAGTAACACGTTATTTCACCAAAATGTTGTTTGTCTGTCCAGTACTTATTTGTATTGCGTACATAACTGTTTAAAATAAATGATGACGTCGTGATTTAATACTGAACTATAATTATTTTTAATTATACATCCGATTAATGAGGCGAATTGTTCGGATAACACAAGTATGATGTATATAATTCCACTTGTCAAATGTAATCTTTACAAAGTAGAAACAAGACGTCATAATACGGAAAATTATTAAGGCTGACAATTAAAGTAAAGCAACGTTTAAGTGGACATTACAAAAAAATTAGTCTTATTTACAGTGAAATACGTTGCATATTTACTTCGTGGATGACTTGCGATTCTATAATGATTATTCGATGCCGTGTTATGATTTTCTTCTATCTAGATATTGTTTAAATGAAAAAAAAAGTAAGGTTGTAATTTATTAATTACATCTTCAAACAATATAGCTCTGTTTTTTTATTAGAATTTCATAAGCTATGACATTTGAACCGGAAAAATAACGACATTTGTGATGTAAAAAAATATTCTTCTCGATTTGAATATGAATGGCCGATATTAGAGAATCTTCAACGTCATTCCGGGTTTGAAATGTCATTAGAAGCGAGTGTGGTTGCTACCGATTGCTGGTTGCAGACATGTAAAGTACACGTAGGTCAACACTCACGAAAAACAAAGCACGTTCTGAAAACACCTTTCAGTCTGAAGATCATTGTTATAGAGCCTACATATATTTGGTTTTTATTATTAAGTTTACTGCTAAGTCGGTTACATAGATTTAGTTTCTATTATTAAGTTTACTGCTAAGTTGGTTACATAGATTTAGTTTTTATTATTAGGTTTACTGCTAAGTCGGTTACATAGATTTAGTTTTTATTATTAAGTTTACTGCTAAGTCGGCTACATAGATTTAATTTTTATTATTAAGTTTACTGCTAAGTCGGCTACATAGATTTAATTTTTATTATTAAGTTTACTGCTAAGTCGGCTACATAGATTTAATTTTTATTATTAAGTTTACTGCTAAGTCGGTTACAT